TTTTGTCCGGCGGAAAAAGAGAAGTCGTCCGTCTCAAGTGATACGTTAATTGCTCAGTAGTGCTTCGCCACTACCGTAGCTGGCGGAAATAGCTTAATGGTAGAGCATAGCCTTGCCAAGGCTGAGGTTGAGGGTTCAAGTCCCTCCTTCCGCTCTTGGCTTCGTCGTTTAGTGGTAACGAGTAGAGTAGGCATCGCCTCTCGATCCAATCCGTCTTTCCCTGGCCTCCCCAACACACTCTTGATACGAAAGAAACCTCCCGCCAATCGGAATCGGATTCGGAAAGAGAAGAAAGAGATCTAAAGTCTGGGCATCATCCCCTCGATCACCCTTCCCTTGAACCGGAACTGGTCGAGAGAGATGAACCCGCACCACATTTTATAACCTTCGAACCGAAAGCCCCAACTAGAGATGGAATTCCATAACCTAAAAAAGTAAATTGAGAGCTCCCGGTTCAATTCAAGGGAAGGTCCACCAATAATGGAAAGGCCATTCCCCTCCCTATCCCTTTCTTGATCCCTCATTCCACGAATTAGTTTTTACTGATTCATTCAAGGACTGAAAGCTTTTCGTTTTATGAAAAGGCATAGACTCCCCACTTCTTTGTCTTATTAGCGCAGGTGTTCGTCAACGATGAAAGCCGCTGAACTTAAGATAAGACTCGAGTTGAGAAAGAGGGCTAGGCCAAGGATAGGAGGGCTTTCAGGGACTGGGGAGGGTGGATTATAGAGCTAGGGGCGGATCAGAGGTTTGTCCATTGGGATTGGGCATGGACGAGCCTCGACTGGGCCAGCATTGATGAAAAAAAAAACTTCTCCCATCGCATCATTAACCGGTGTAGGATTAAAGATCAGGTCCAGGATTCGAGTCAAATCGACCTTCCCTCTCATCTCAGGGTGAGGCAAGGTAGCTTGCTCAAATGTTCGTTGTTCAATATCTCGGCTGCTCAATTGGACTAGCTGCTCCCATTCCTCAAATAAACGACGGAGTGGACTCCCTTCTAGGGGAAGGGCAGAGCCTCACCTTGCAGTAGGAAGGTTTTCGTTGCTGGGACGGGTTCAGAAGGGAGGAGGAATGAAGACTCCGATCTTTACTGGGGATTCATCCACTGGCTAGGGCTTTCTAATCAAAGCATGGGCATCTGCAACTAAGAGGGAACAGTAGATTCGTCGATGGAAGAGCCAGGTCAGTCAACTTCTATTGGGACTTCTATTGATTATTGATTCGACTAGAGGGACTCCTAGCAAGAAACTTGTATGACGGGGCCCCATGGAGACGCAGGAGATGCAGGAGTGAGATAAACAGCCGGATCGACCAAAAAATGATAGGCCAGAGGGATGGGCTCATTCGACTAATTAGTGATCCCTGGCCCTACCTAACAAAGAGATGTCCCTAAAAAAAAATAAGAGGGGATTGGTTGATCGGAAAGCTCGGGCAGGAGTAGGACATTCCATAAAAATCTTTCTGATCCGCTAGCTCTCACTCCTTGCCCTATTCGGTCAAGCAGCTTAACTCCTCTCACTATTTTTCATCGACAGGTAGGGTGAATTCTAAGGTTCCTTATTCCGGTTCCGGTTGTAAAGCGGAACCGGAAGAAGAGGGAGAAAGAATGGGCACAGCCCCACCAGCAGCCCGCGTTTTCGACCCGAAAGGAATTGAAAATGAAACAAGAATCTGTGTTCACTATCTATGGAGCGGAGTGACTATCCTGAATCTCCTCTTCCCTATCTCCCCCTTGCCTTTTTTTCTTTTTCTCGCCGGCAGGTAGTTGACTTGCCTTACTTGTTAGAGTCAGGGAGAATCCATTTATTTATTCTGATTGATCTGTAGTTCAAGGGCACTCTTCCTAATCCGAGTTTAAGATGGAATAAGACCCAGACGTAGAGTCCCGTCGGCCGGTAAGGGATTTTTTCTATTGATTTTTGATTCCCTTCAGTCCTTACCTTTAAATAAGGGATTCTTCTCTTCCCCACGAGGTCTTCAAGCCAGATGGAGTAGTGCATCTCTGTCTTGAAAGCCCCGCCCTACAGATAGGAGTTCCTATCTCTACTGCCTATCCAACCCGAAGATTCTTATTCGTGGTGGAGTGCTTCGAGTAGGATCCGACCCCATCCCAGCAGTCAAAGTCCTTCCTGACCCGGCTCACCTGCCTCTGAAGCTTGAATGCCTTTATAGAGGAGGCTACCCGAGGAATCGATAAGTTTGAAGTGGGATGTGGAATGTGATTGGTGATGGATGGTGGTTATTAAATAAGTTCTGCATCAGATGATGAGCCCGTGCGAAAACTTTTTCTTTTATTGGCGCCCGATAGGTAGGCTATTCGATTGAGTCGAAAGCCTACCAACGCACGCATAAAGGTTCCGCGATTCGAGCGAGAGCCCAAACGGGGGAGGCGAGAACATCTTGATCGAAAGCTCCACTTTTCTGAATAATGAGAAAGAAAAAAATTCGATAAAATCGATCGAGAATCTTATCATCTGTTAGGTAGGCCAACCGACCTAGTTTGTTGGGCTGGGGCGTCCATGTCACAGAACCTTTCTTCTAGCCAAGAATCCCATTATTGATCGAATCGGGGCGGATCTTCCTCTCGCAAGCCTTTGGATTCACCATCCTAACGAGCTCTTTTTTTTTTTTCCATACAGTAGCTAGTCTAGTAAAGCATTAGATGGTTCCCCAAGGGCTCAGCCTTTGATTACAAGTATAGCTTAGCTCATAGCCTCCTTACCAATGTGAGGAGGCAAGGCGGTAAAGCGTGACCGTTCGGAAACCTCTAAGTGGGCCTTCCTACTTTACATCATTAAATACAAAGGCAAGGTAGAATAGCATCAGTCAAGCTCTCACAGCAGGAACGGTGCCGATTCCCATTCTCATTCCTTAGAAGCCGGAGCCCCCCTGACAACTGTCTTTGAGTCCGTTCACTCCTCACTCTACTAAGACAGGGTAAGTGATTATGGATATCCTACTTCCGGTGGGGAGACCGTAGACTGAACTGAAACCCACACTCTTTCTTGTGTGTAATGAGTAGCTACTAGTTAGAATGAATTCTTCTCGGTCTTTCAGACCAACTCCTTTTATAAGCTCTTCTTAAACCATAGGGCAGGTTTGGAACCCTAACTAACTAATTGCTTTTGTTCCGCCTTCTCCACTTGACTCCACTGGTCGATAACTCTACAGCTTCATCCGAGATCCTTCCCAAATGAACATCCTAGCCCAGTAACAATATCTTATCTTCCCTGTTGAAAGCCTAGAAAATCGGATCAATTGATAAATAGAAATTTATGAAGACGATTTTCCTCATCTTTCTATCGTTGTGCTGTTCTACCCACTGCTTATCGATAATGAATAACTTTAATTTAGTTTTTGGTAGGGCTTTTCCCCATTGCCATCCCTTTTTCCAATTCCCTACTTATTATTTATATACTCATATAAGACTTCTATTCAGACATGATGGATATTGAAACCAGCAACTTCTTAGGAGAGTAGCTAGACTGAGTTCCACTTCTATACTCCAGTTTACCGAGGGCTAATGGCTGGCTTCTTTGTCTAGTCGCAACTTTCAAACTTAGCCTAGCCGATTGGCTTTGTTTTGTTCCTGATTACTGCCCTAAAATAAAATCAAACTTTCGTTCAGTGACATCACAAGGGTTGGTTTGAACGCTTAGGGCAATTGGTAGGGGTCATCCGATTCCGAATCCGCGCAAGAGCGCTTCTTCTTTTGGTCCCTATGGCTGGTAGGGGTAGCATTGACTATGTTCATGAGCCAATCCTTTCTTTGGTTCTTTATAGCTGATAATCAGTATAAACTCAGGGGGTATGAGTGCATGATTCTTTCTCTTCTTCCACAAGCTTAGAGAAAGAGACCGAAGGAGGATATGAAAAATCCGCGGATTCCCTAAAGCTAGAGCAGCTACTTCCTTAGAACTGCTCCGAGATGGTATTCAAGAAAAGCTCACTAGCAGAAAAAGGGTTTTGAAGAAGCCGACATTGAATTTACTACCTAAACTGCCTTTCTTTCAAGATCAAGATACTACTACTACTCCTATGATTTCATTACAGGGAAAGGAAGTTAAACCTCTCAAACTCGGAAAATAAAAATCGAATCTTTCTTGACCAGGAGCAATAGACCCCGAAAGGTGTGAAGTTAGTGCCTCCGCTTCTGAAAGAGCTGCGGTTATAAAAATTCCAATTGAGTTTTGATTCGCTGCATCAATGAATGTGCTTGCAGAGTGGGGAACTATAAGCATAACAGCTCTTGAAAAAGAAAGGAAAGAACTACTCTTGATGCCGAAAATCCCATCTTTTTTTGTAATTAAAGTGAACCTATAACTTTCTACCTTAGTGCCGCTGTTGGAACTGCAGATTCTTTATGACTGGACGGGTACGACCTCTTGCTTCTCAATGTCATGGAATGGATAGGTGATGTTTCCAACCGGAAAAGACGATAAATCAAAAATTATAAAAATAAGAGCGGGTGAAGGAGTTAAGTTAGAGATCTCTTTCTAGACCTTGAAGTCACTTCCGGGATTAGCTTGATTTGGGCTAGGAAATCTTTTTATTTGTAGCATATAAAGTGAACCCTAGACTCTTATGGTTAGTTTATTCCGCATCCTCACCATCTAATTAAAACTCATTACCGACTGCTGCAACCTTTGCCGGGAAAGAAGAAGGAATTTAATCCAAACCCCTAACTCGATAAAAATTCTTCATCTGCACCTGAGACAAGTAAAGGATATCCCACTCCGGTAAGCTAGCAAATAATATAGAAGATTCTAATTTGATAAAGTTATTTAAAAAACTAATAAAGTTCTCTTCGATTCGAGTCGAGTGCATAAGCCGCTTTCCCTTTAGGAATCTTGTCTCAAGCCATTGATCTTAGCTTTGGCCCTATATGGAAAGGAAAATCTTTAAGCTTCCCTCTTTTTTCTGCCTCTCCAGTTCAACAAAAGGATTCTTTCTTCTGGTTTACCAAGATCTTAGTAATTTCACCTCTGTACTTTGATTAAGAGTTCAAAAGGCAAGGATTAGGATTTTTTTTTTATATGTGAATAGGTCCCTTAAACTAACCTATCCATGGGATAAACCCTCTTAGTTTATTTCCTAAAGTAGTCCTTCTTGAAAGAAAAGATTTTTGAGTTCTTTCACTCCCGGCTGTTTTGTCTTATTCGTTGATCAGTTTTCTTCCTTCCTCGGAAAAAAAAGACCTAAGGTCAGGAGGATAGTTCCCACCTACTTCTTGCTTGAGTTGAATCAGCTGAGAGTTCAAGCTTTGATCTCGCAATATGTAACGTAGGAATGGAAATCCTCACACTCTTTAGGAGTGAAGCCCTTATATCAGCTTTCCTCCAAAACCGGACCGGTTATTGATTCAATCACAGCTTATACAACTCGCAACTCGGTAATGAAATGGTCGCCATCAGCCTGAGATCAGATCAAGGTTATCGAGATTATCTTTCTAGACCTTTCGAGGATTTATCTAGGCTAAGCCAAAGAGAAGAGGGTATCAACCGGGTTTAATAACTTAGGATGAGAATTCATATAAATTTTACATCGGCCACATATTCTGTAGGTGTTGACCACCTTTATTCGTATAGTCTCGTCAAGGTAAAGTAGGGATGTGGGAAAATAACTTTCTTCTCTTCCACCCATTTTTTTTTATTAGATGACCGAGTCGAAAGAACTAGTTTCTTTTCTTTTCTTAAAAAAAAGCCAATCATCGAAGAAGAAGTTCCCCCGCTTTCAATAGAAGATGAAGGGTGGAATGATGAATTGGCAGAGTTTGCTTTACCTACTTTAGGTCTTAAATCCCAGAAGAAAAATTCTGGATGCTGTCAGAGTTCCCGATGTCCCATATTCATATTATTAGATTAGTCTTTGTCTTCTCTTGGTTAAGATCTGTAACTCTTAGTGGCTTGAGTAAGCAGATATTAGAAGCTCTGTAACCCTTGGATTTTGTCCTTCCGCAGTGGAAGATTAGGCTAGTTCAGTTACTTCCGGCCGGGGTCAACGAAGGTCTTAAGTGGAAGGAAGAAGTCCTTTTAATCTCCCATCCGCATATTCACAAATAATAAGATCCGAATTATAAGAAAAGAATGCCTTTGCCCGAACCGATACAACTGAGAAAAATGAAGAGATGAGGAAAGGACTTAATCTAAATCACCTCACCCTCTACATCTTTAACAATACTTACGGCTGAGGAAGTCTTGGAACGGAACTCTTTATAATTCCAGCGTCCGTCAAGCTCTTAATAGAGATGGGAATGCGAAAACAAAGAATCTATTTATTCTTATAATTTTTTAGGTAGAAGTGGAAAAGAACTCGCCTAAGGCTTCCAACTCCAAGAGGCTCACTATTGCTAATGTGCGGCCCGAAAAGAGTAATAGAATCCCAAACCAAAGCTACGTCGGACCGGACTTTTTCTGCTAAGAGGTCGTCACTTCCTAGACTTCCTACCTAACTTGCCTTCAGAGCTTTATTCATTCGATAATGATTGTTTAAGATACCTTTTTTTCTCCGGTAAAAGGTAAAAAGGAGAGGCAGCGGATAAGATTTACACTGGAAATTAATAAGCTAGTTTACTTCTATTCTCATATGGTTTTTTCTCTTGTAAATCCCTTGTCCCCTTCTTACTATTGATTCTCTTCCTTCAATGTGAAAAAAATAGGATTGGATTGATGGACAGAATCCTTTCATTCTTCCACGGTCTTCTCTCTCTTTCCTATTGCTATTGGGATCCCTTTCATATTCATATTCAATAAATAGATTGCCTCTATCCATTTATCCCTCTCTACTTCAAAGGGCGGGGAGGTAGGAAGGAGGGCCCGGCCCGTACTCTAGAGCGTTTTGAACTAGTGTACAGGACAGTGGTATGCGTGTCAGGGGATCAAATCTATCAAGGTTTTTGGCTCGCAATAAAATAGGCCCTTGATCGAGCAACTAGGAATCCTATCTCTCTCGAGTCAAAAACAACGGCATTCAAGCCAAGCCCAGGGAGCAGCTTCACCTTCTCTCCTCCGCAGGCGTGTCCATTCCAAATCCAAAGCTAAGACCCCGATACAACAAAAAGACAATTAAATTTTTTACCTACACCAAATCCAGACCGGTTAAGGGAACAAGAAAAAAAAAAAATATTAAAAAAAAGCCATACCGAAGGAGACTACAACCTAGTTATATGATGACACCCACCATTTTTTTTCTTACCTACCTCTTATTGTAAGGGCAACCCCTCCACGGAATTAGTCATCGGTTTATGTTTAGTAGAATTCACGATCTAACGGACGGGAACTCTTGGTCGGTAACAAAAGAAGAAAGAATTAGTTTTTTCATCCCTTATTAAGCTCTCTTCTCTTAACGGATACTCAAGCGAGTTAAAATTACAGGGGAAACCTATCCTGAATGAAGTGATAGGCCTCTGCCTTACATCTGAATAGGGCGATATCTCCATAAAGAGAGGAGATTCTGCTCATTAAGCATCAGATTGGTAAGTTCTATGAAGGAGCTTTTCGCTCTAAGATTCGAAGTTCATTGTATTCCCTATAAAAAATGGTCTGTAGAAATCATCGCCTGAGCTCGAGAAAAAGCACGTGTTTCGTAATCACTTGATTTTTAATGGGATTAGTCTGGGGGAGATTAAAGTTTAATGGTTCGACTTTCATATGATTCATGATGCGTTAAGTTTCAAAGACTTGACGACGACGATTCCACTCCACGCCGACGATTGAACCCGCCGCGAGTTGGAAAGAGCCGTTTTAGTCCAGAGCTGAGCCCCTACCCCCAGAGGCTAAAAATACAAGTTTAAGGTTTGGAAGATAGAGTAAATTTTTTAATTTAAATTAATATGAGCCAATAAAGCCAATTAACACAATAAAAGTTTTTAGGGTTTGGGTCAGAGTCAGAGTTATTTTTTTTTTAATTCTTTTTGGTTTTGGGTTGAGGGGGTAAGGGGCTGCCGCAAAACAAAGGGGATCCCATCTTTTTGGCTCGCAAAAACTAGGGTCCTGATCGAGCATCTAGTAGTCACCCTCCACCCTCTGCTTGAGTTTGTATCTTGAGTACCAGATCTACCACAATGGCTGGACCTTCCAGTACAAATCGCACAGAGTGATGACAGACCACAGTGCTCTTATGTTCACACCAAATTGCGGTAGGGCTTCAACTGCTGGTAAGGAAAAACCTGTTACGGTGAAAAAACTGTAAAAAGTTCGAAATGGTGAATTGAGGTAGAGTAGACCGATGATCCTGTAGTCATTTGGCCGGCTATTGAAAGAAAAAGCTTGCATCTGCTCTCCCAGGGCTATTATATAACCGGTCCGATCTCTCTCCAAACCTAACGTGATAGTTTCCCATCATAGGGCTTTATATCTATAGATTGAGCCATTACCAAGGAGCTAATTCGTTCAGAACTCAGTTGACTGCTTCTATAGATAAGGCGGAGCGTCCTTGGCTCAGCATTATAGCACATAGGGCTTCGGCGCTACTACAATCGCTTCGCTAACTCGAAGCGCCTCGCATGAGAATCTAGCTTCGCTAACGCTCGGCTAAGTCTTGAACCTTCGCGCGTTCGCTTTCTCAGTAGCAAAGCGCTTCTATTTGCCCCTTAAGTTAGAAGGACAGAAAGATATTTTTTCTTAATTGCTCCCGCCGCTTCCTCGCATCTGCGCTCGTCAAGCCAACTTAGCTTTTTTGGAGGTGAAACTGCGGTTGAAGCGGACATTTCGAAATGACAGCATCGAAGATTTATATATTATTTATTACAACGGTCACGGTTATCCCGGACTGCGTTCCGGAAAAAAGTGGCCTACTTGAATGAAAGAAAGGGCGAGCACTCTTGTCTTTCAACCCCACTATCACTAGACTATTCATAGTTGTGGGGCACAGTGTACTTACAGCCTCTACGATAAGCAAGTGAATGGGGCCGGTGCGTGGCGAACGGAACGGTTCATCAAGCCATTTCTCGCCTCAACCCCCTAAATAGGAAGAGGGGTACTTTTTAAAGAGGGGGTAATTGCTTCGCACCTGACTGTGATAGCCCTCTCGATACCTTATTGGAGCTTTGTAACTAGTGGCCGCTTTCCCGTCGCTAGAGCGTTTTCCCAGTGCTTTTTAAGAGCCCCAATTCGGAATCGGAATCGGAAGGTGTTAGTGGTTTATCATTGGGTCAATAATGCTAATCCCTCTTTTTGTGCTACTCCTACTCCTAGGGAGGGAAGAAGATAAGAAAACGCGAAGCGTTCTATTGGTTTCCCAACTTGTTGCTTCTAAAGGCTGCCCTCTCTCGGCTGGATTTTGGTCCAGCCTACTACGAGGATCCCGTATCCAGCAACCCAATCTAAAAAAAGGGAAAAAAAAGGCCTTGTCTAGGTTGGAGCTATGAAGCTGACCTTCATATTATGAAAAGGCCCCTTACTATAGTATAGATAGGCGAAGGTTTGAAGACGCTCGACCCTTCTATATTATATAAATAATTAAGGCAAGCAAGGTAAACAAACCCCCACGCCTCCTATTTCTTAAGGGGGGCTTTTCTTTGACGAAAAAAAAGAAAGCCTCCATTACTAATAAAGTGCTAACGCGCACTTCCGTTTTCCCTTTACTAGTAGGGGTCCCGTGGTTCCTATGCCGCCGCGTTTCCCGGTCCTTTTCTTTTAGTGCTTCGACCCGAAGCGATAGCTTCTAGCTAGTTCAGTGGATAAGATGGCTGCGCTCCAGCTCACTCAAGAATGGGACGGCAGTGGTCCGCCGGCAAGCTCGTTCTGATCTTGGACGCAGTACATTGGAATCCTGAAGCACCACCACGAACGCTACCGCGCGTTCGCCTGCGGTGCGGTAAGGCACCACCCTGTTGTGCCAGCAGCCAACTCCGGCGTGTCAGCTTAGTTATCCTCATCAAGCCACTTACTTGATGTCTAGCTTGCCAACTGGTAGACGGTTCCTTTTCCCCCAGATCAATGAAGAAGGGAGAAGTAAGTTTATTCTTCCGATTCCGAAGAACCGGAAGCGAAGCGCTATGCCGGGGCGGGGGGACGGGAAAAGAAAGGGCTCCGAAGAAAGAAAGGGGGGTTCCCAATGCTTCTCCACGCCCAACGAGATGCGCCAACCTCGGGATGCTTTACTCCTAACCCCACAAGGTTCCGAGACGGAGCTTAACCTGAGTCTCGGTTAAGAACGGCGATGATCTACGTTTCACACGGCGCACGATTCCATGGATAGTTTCATTCGACATCGTGATGGAGGACATAACTTACGATCATCGGCTTTGATCATGCCACTAGGCATTTGATTAGGACATTGCACAAGGATCCGAAGACTTTGTCGCATCTCTTCAATACGGATACAGTAACGATCATAGCGATCTCCTCTGGTACCTACTGGTACGTCAGGATCCGATTGGTCATGAACATCGTAAGGTGCTGCTCTTCGCGAATCCCAGCATACCCCTGGTTGGGATGGGTAGGCCCACCACTTCACTTTCACTTAGGCCTGGGCCAAGTCAGTGGGGGGACCCTGTCGGGCTCCTCCCCCCCAAAAAAAAGACAAAAACTGTACGTGATAGTTTCCCTTCATACGGCTCGAATCATTCTCAGATGCCCCGAGAGGCATCCTTTCCTTCTTTGTTGGGTTGGTTCACGCGCGCGCAAACGAGCACTGGCCGCAACAGCAGGGAACTATGACCAATAGAGTCAGACACTTAGCTACATCCGCACGCAAAAGGAATGTGGTTCTGGTTGAGGCTTTCTTTCCTTTATTAGTAAAGGGGGCTTTTAAGGACGTTCGCGGAGTCGGAATCCGTGCCTCCTTTACTAATAAAGACCACCACAGGACTGGTCGTTCTTGGGCGGATCCCGCTCCTAAACATAAGGGATAGGGGGAAGGTGGCCGGGCCTCTCATATCAAAAGGGTTGTAAAAAGAGAACCCGGCTACCTATTTCATTCGACGTTCCGCCCGCCCGATTCGACCGACTTTTTGATAACAAGAAGGCGGCGAGCTGATCTGCTTTGATCAAGGAAAAGGCCCAGTCAGCCACCAACTCGGTGCAGGTCAAACCTGAAGCTTGGACCTACAGCTCAGCTCGGCCTTCGCTTTTTGAGACTTCCTCTACCCACATCTCTATGTTAAGCAGCACTTCCATATGGAGAAAGATAGGCTTACCATGTTCCATCAATAGCACCTAACCTATGCCGATTTTGGCGGACTGTGCTCCACCCCGGTGAACTCATGCGGTTCCGACGTGCCCAGAGGCCAGAGGCGAATCCGTTCACGGTCCGTAGGACCAACACCATTCGAAGGTGGGTGGCCCGCCCCGCCTAGAACAGTCATTTTTGACTGGGCTTAAACACATTCGCTCACTTACGCTGTCCCCCCTCAGCTCACCCTAGCCCCGGGCCTTTTGCTCTTATAACGTAAGCTCCAAGGCTTCACACCAAGTCTTCACTGACAGAATATGCATGCTTAAGTAGGGTCAGGCAGAACCGTTGTTGCCTGATGGGAACTCTCCCCATATTGCTATAAATGTCTTCATGTCGCACGACCTCTTAACATTACACCACTGAATCCCCAATCCTTTGCTTGCTGTGCAGTGACAGTACCAATATCCACTAATCGTTGTTTCCAGATACGGTTGCCGGTTGACATCTCTTCTAATTCGTCGATACGAGAAGCAAATTGTTGTGTGAAGGAATCAATATCTCGACATAAGCCAAGAGGCAGATCTTGTGCCACTCCACCTGGTCGTATGAAACTGGCATGCATCCTGGCTCCCGAGACTCTTTCATAGAATTCCAACAATTTCTCCCGCTCCTCACAAGCCCACAGGGACGGAGTGGATGCTCCCACATCCATAGCATGAGTAGTTAAAGCAAGTGAATGATTTGAAATTCGAGTTATTTCACGGAATAACACTCGTATATATTGAGCTCGTAATGGTACCTCGCAATTCAAAAGTCTCTCTACGGCTGAAGAATGAGCGTGTTCTTGGGCCATCGTAGAAACATAGATAGGGTCGACGACGGAACGAAGAACTCACCCTAGATACAGCTTTTTCGTACACGTTCACTTGCATCACATACACAAGTGCTCTCTGAACCGTGCAATAAGGTCACCCATAACACGGCTCTCCCACTTGAGTTACCTTAGCCCCAGGCAGGCCATGCTATTCAATGATATATATTGGAAAAATGGCAGCGTAACGTAACAACTAGTATTGAAAGCTGGTCGCCTTTTGAGGGAGGGAAAGCCTTTCAATAGGAGCCCTACTTCCCTCTTCAATAAAGACCTCATCACTTCAAAGCGCAAACCAATTTCTTTCTGAGTCACCGGATCCGTTTGGAAAGGAGCGCACCTTTGGTACTTTGCTTATAGCTTTTTTAGGTTATGCAATAGACGGGAGGCTTAGCTCTGGATCCCCCTGCTTGCAGAAATTTATGGATCAGAAGGGGGGGCTGGCTTCTATTTCCGTGCCGGGGGGGAAAGGCCATAAGATAAGATTGCCCTCCCGGCACGGAAATAGAAGAGAGGAAAAGGGTGCTGTCATCTATCTCGACCAGTTTCCCGAGGCGTTGAAAATCCAGACCGGCTCAGAGAATCACTGGCGCTATTTAGCCCTTCGTTTCGCCATTCGAAGTACTACCTCTGCCTTCCCTTTTTGTAAAATACCCAGGCGCCCTCCTTTCCAATCACTAAGAAAAAAAAAAAGACCAATCAAAGCCCTATCTAAGTAAAGCTTCGTCTGTTATTTTTCCGGCCCCAGGGGAGTTTACTCAACCCATTCCCCAGTCTTCCGCACTGCTCAAGTCAGTGTGCGACTCCGTATGAGGACCTCCTTCCCTTCTGCCCACTCTCCGTTCACACGGTTCTCAAAGCAGAGGAGGAAGGGTGGGCAGCAGGTACCACGAGCCCTCTGTCCCACACATCTATCCAGAAGCAAGTGTAGTTCACCGGTTCCACCGAATGCTCCTATCTCTCGGCAAAGATCGTGTGAGTGTGCAGTTATGCTTCGGATGCTTCGCCATAGAATAGATCGACCCAGTTCCCGTTCTTTTCCGGTGCACTCGCTTTATATCTCCGACACACAAGGAAGGACGCGGTGGGAAGGAAGCAGCCCTAGCCTCTGTCCGGCCGATCATTCCGCTGGCATCTTGCATTCACGCCTCCTTTTGACTGCCGCTCGGGGATGGAGTTGTAGATACGTGAGTCTTAGCGGATCGTTGGCTCCACCTGTTATCTCCTTCTACGACATGCTGTTGTCGTCGCCATCTTCCATATGTAACTTAGTCATCTCTGCCTCGCTGCGGGTCAGCACCTCCGAAAGAAACGGAGGACTTCATTCAGTGACTCCGCGATCGCCCTCTAAACGATCAGAATAAGGTAAAGCTTGAAGATAAGTTTTGTACTCTATTAATTTCTCAGTCCCTCTAGTCGGGTGGGCGCCGGCCGGTCTTTCGACCAGATCCCCCTAAAAACCGTACGTGCGGGTCTCCCCGCATGCGGCTCACGCCATTCGAGGTGGCCCAGCCCAGCATTCATTCGCAAATCCTGTAGTTAAATTGAGACTGCTCGACCTCGGAAGCTAATTCGCGTGTAGGCAGCGCTGTCTGTCGTACCGTTGACTCTATCTATTCATTGAATTCACTTTCATTCATTTTTTTATAGGCTCGCTCCCTATTTTTCCAAGAATTAATGCACTTCCCCTTGACTTCAGAGGGCCTTCTCTAATAGGGGAAAAGCCTTCCATTTCCGTCAAATGACCCGGCCCCCCCCTGGCTCTTCCACCGTCCAGGCTCCCTTTCCTACCTATGCTATGCTCCCCCGGCACAGGCCTACCACGCTTCGCGCCTGCGGCGTTTTCGCCGGACGGTCTTTGCCAGTAGTGCCATCCTCCCCGCTGGCTGTATGGGCGGGTTGTCCCTCGCTGCTGCGTTCTGTTAGGCTGTGGATTACAGGAACAAATGTAGTTGAATGAGACAGCAGGCGGGTTACACGTTCCGCTGTGCCGAGATGTGAGGTGCAGGTGGTGATGATCACCCCGGGGTATGCGCTAATGAAAGCCCTTGACAGGCACTCCAGGACCCGCCAACGCTCATGAAAACCCGGGTCGGTCCTCCATTCATCTGACCGGAGGTGTGGATAACGAGGCCACCTTCACAACCTTCTCCCTTCTGTCCTTATGTTGTAGTAAGGTAGGGCGGTTCGCTTGAGTTGCTCAACCGCCCCTTAGCCCGGTGCTCATGACGCTCAGTAAGACCTCCACCGTGCCGGGGGACCAAGCAGGGCATAGCTAGCGGCATAGGAGCCGACTCGGCGTCAGCGGCTTCGTGCCGCACTGGAGTGATCCAATATGTGGTTCCGCACGTTCCACCACTTCTCCGTTCATTTCCAATACTGATCGTGAAACACCATGAGCAGCAGGATGTTGAGGTCCGAAATTCGAAGTGAAATTTTTGATTTGCCCGTTCCTAGTCGTCATGGGAAAAAAGGAAGAAAGAAGAAAGAGATTATTCCCTGAGAGCTTGTCCAGTACTACCCGTACCAGAAATGCATCTCCTTGCGTGCGAGAGACTTCTATGCCAGCCGTTATTTCCCGGCTCTGTTATGAAAGAAAGCGGCAGACTAATCTTACAGGTGTTCCCTAATGAGGGATTTTAGGGGATTAGGGTTCTCCTTTTATCTCCTCCACCCATCCGCGGAGGGTTTCAGTATCAATCTCCGCAGATATTTCCAGATCGCGAGAAAGAATGTTCTCTGCGACACTGGAATAGATTTCTTCCATTTCCGGAAAGTGAACGGAAAGCCGCCCTTTCCCCTTCTCACAAGATTCCCGAACTTGCTCAAGAATCAAAGTGTGAATGGCACTTCGAAGTGCCTCACGTTGGGGATCGGCGTGGGGAACTTCCACCGGTTCCTCTTCCGATTCCTCTTCCCTCTTCCGATTCCTCTTCCGATTCTGGACTGGAGCCAGCGGGTTCTGAATGACCTCCCTCTGACGGTTAAAAAAAGTGGTTAACCATCTCGAAAAAATCCATATCGTCCACCCGAAAAACGTGTCTCAACTACAGCCAACTAACTCCCCTTTTTCCCTATCGAAAAACCAACCCTACTTAATTTGTTCTAGAAATGCTAACCAAGTTACACACTGGGGCATGGGTCATGAAAGAGGTTGACCCCCATCCCCCTTCCTATGTATGGCCAATGAACTCCTCGCTTTAGTCCGTTCTTTTCCTTCTTTGGGCTCGGGTCGATAGTAGCCGTGGTAGTAATGTCCCGGAGCCCGGCTACCGACCCGAGGCGCTGATCGGGAAAGTAATAAAATAAAGGGACGTTAAACGTAATTCTAGAAGGGCGTTACCACAACAAAAAAAATCCGAGTCTTGGTAGTTTTACTTGCTTACTTTTTATAGTAAGGCAGTTGAAGTTAAAGTTGATTAGACTAGTCCCACTAAGATGGCGGGGAGAAACTTACTTCCGAGAGAGCTGCTTTCGCCTCGGTAATTACCTAACGAGAGAGAGCCGATGCCAAAGTAGCCCTTTACGCGAGGTAACGCCAGACGAACCCTTCTGACCTACTGCTAAACTACTTTTATATAGACCTGGAAGCTAGAGAGAGACTATACTAAGGTTATAGTGCCGCTACCAGAGAAGGCTGTTTCATGCTAGGCGTCCAGACCTACTACGCCCGAGCCGCATCCCCGGCACACTTGCTTATATCCACTAAGGCTTCATCCCACTTCATCCTACCAACTATACCTTATATAAAGCCGTTCTATAACAATTCAAGACAAGAAAGAAAGCAAAAGATTGATCAGACCTTTTCTGATTTGGATTTCCATTTATTTTTCCTTCATGGAACGGAACCTTATTTGCCCTTCGCCTCAGTAGCCGCTTTTGCTTATGTAAATCTGTATCCGCTGCTGTCTCCCCAGATACTTATGGTGGGTTTCAATGATATATTTTCTAGGATTCATAGGTCAAGGGCTATGCCGCTATATATGCTACACCGAAGTATGCTCCTAGGTAAGCGACGCCTTTGGATCCGCCTCTCGAGCACGAGGGGTCGTATTCATAAAAGGCTATCATGAAGGTTTGCCTATGGCTCTGTATCTACCTCTGTCTGCTGGTGCTTCTTTTGAGAAGCTGCAGGATCAATGGCTGAAACTACTGCTTCTTCAACGCTTCTCCTGCGACTTGTTCTCCTTTTCGTCCTTGCCTCCTGCACGCACCTAAAGGTACAGTATCTAAACGCTCCTTCTGCTCTTGGGAAAGGGGGCCCAAGGCTCATCCTTATGCTTTTCGGTTTTCGAGTTAAAAAACAGAGTTGGGGAGACCCGTCAAGCTTTAGGATAGCTCTTTTTCAAAATAGATTCTTGTAATAGAAGCTAAGCTTTTATACCGAATCGGGTTTGTTGATGGAATTCATAGCCGGGCCGGAACTCTTGATCTATCAATAGAGGGTGAGGAACTCAATCAGGAAGGACTGCTAGTCATCACCGAGGGAAAGCTTGACCAAGGAACTGCTGCTGAGAGCGATATACTTTCCAACTGAGATGGAGAGAATGCGCTCCTACTCTCTTTCAATCGCGATGCTAAAACAAAGAGGGCGTAGGACCCGAGGGAGGTTGAGTCAGCAGCTAGTTTTGCCGGAATAGGAATCAACGATGCAATTTCATCTGTAGGAGGAAGGGCCTTAGAGCAATAGACGGAATGAGTCTTAGTTTCAATATCCCCTGCTCTTTCTTGTTGAGTCGACTGTTCATGGCATGGTTTGGTGGGACCAAGAATTGCTCTTTTTCTCTTTGAAGGACCAGGAAGTTTTTGCATTGATGCCGGGAATACAAACTCTCTCTTTCTCTTTGAAGGAATCCGCCATGGAAGGCTCTCGGACCGGGTCATGGCATTGCTCTGGAGTGGAGCCGGGGGAAGGAGCGAAGGGAAAGAGGATTTAGCTTTGGCTTTGGTTCGCTTGACCGTATGACTTTTCTGTGAGTCTTGTTTCAAATAGAATAGGTCGTCCCCTTTTGGTGCTATCACATAGCCCTAAGCAGGGCAAGGAAGGTCTCTAATCGACAACAAAGAGATATGCCAATTAGCGGCACACTTACTATAAACCGATTTTCGTTAAATCCTATAACAACTCTTATCTTAGTTACTCTTCTCAAATATCTTTAGGGAGTTAATGACTCTTGGGTATGGCGGAAGAAGAATAAGTAATTAATACTACTAGACTTTTAGCTTGAAGGTGGGCTTTAGTCTTTTAACAACCGATCTTGCGACATCAAGTTGTCAATCCCTCATAGGGGCATCGATTTTTTTTCAGTATCCCTTTTGAGCAGAGCGTCTTTCCTATCTCTCCAGGCTAGTCTCTTAGATAGCAAGTCAAAGGAGTGTTGTTCGAATTCTACACCATCCTCCGTCGCTGTCTGGAACGATAATTCATAAATTTGCATCCTCCCTTAGCCGATTGCTCACTATCAACCACTTAATCCGTCTCAGACATCTGATCCTCCTTGATAACCAGACTAACCACTTCAGGCTGCACAATAAGAGATCGAGCTAGCCTCGTAAGCATGATTCTTAGTCTCGTGTTGAGATCCGTGAGCGAGACCCAAGCAGGAGAAGCAAAGGTAGAAAGAGCAGAAAAGGCAGCATTCTTTCTCCGCTGCTATATCAAGATGACTCTAGAGCACTTCATAGATAGAGACAAAGCTACATATAGATGAATGAGGATCAATATCGTTCCCTCATGAAAGGTCAGTTCAAGAGAATCGCAATATCAGTTGTTGGAATCTGCTGCTCACGAATGGTCTGCTTAAGCCAATAAGATCGAAAAGGCTATCTCCGAGTGGCAAGAAAGAGTGCGGCACTTTCCTTCAAGCAGGAAGGATGCAAAGTCATCCAAGGGAAGCTAGACCTCGAGTGACGAAAGACGGGAGGGAATAAGTAAAACCGACCAGGCCTGGCCTTCAGCACCATCAGAGCTCCCATTGTCGTCAGAAATCCCAATCTGTGGTCGCTTCTCCTGCAACCGAAGAGGATGATCTCCTCTCTCGTAGCACCAAGAAGTGTAAAACGCCGCTCATCGGGATATTTTTTTTGGCTGTCATGATATGTCCCAGGTTAAATACATAGAACCTGTGGAAGGGATCACTAATGCCCCCCAATCCCAAACTGGCCCAACTGGTTGGGGTGACATATCTTGAAAGGATACCCTTTTTTTAAGGAGAACCCTCCGATCGCTCGGATTCGGAATCGGAATCGGAATCGGATGATGAAGAAGAAAGGAGGCATGGAGGAGGCCAAGTCTGACGGAAGCATCTGCGGACTCAGAGAAGAAAGGTCCATGGCCTAGGGTCACTATCACCAAAGAGGAGTGCATAAGTTTATGGAAGCCCTGGCGTAGAGCCCTTATCAAGGACACATGCCAGACCTTGCGTAACTGGATCAAGCCTATACCGGCACCGACATCAGGATTTATATTTTCTGGAGCAACCTTAAAGAGGGAGACAAGTGGTTTTCAAAGCTAGCCACGTAAACCATCAGCGTCAACTAATAATCCTAGTAAAAACAAGAAGACGGATAATTCACAATAGAATATGAGTCATCTTTTTCAGTCCCAAAGTGCGCCTCTTCGACTCTCCAGCCCTTTACTTTATAGAACTGGCGACATTTTCTCATACCTTTGCTAAGCATGTCCTTGAGGGCCTCAATGACGTCACCCTCGTTGCAACAATTGGTGACATAGGGGGGATAGCCGGACAGATAAATTTGCCTTCACGGGGCTCCCGTAGGGTCTATTACACCAACATCAACTTAGGCAATAGCGTCTTTCACAGCTGATTCAACAACAGCCATTCTTCTTTTTTTATTATCCCGGGATCAGAAGCAGAAGGCTAGGCACCAAGGCTACGAAACTAGGCTATGAAAGCAGAGAGAAACTCGAAACTCCTAAACCTAAGGCAGCCTTTCTCCTTATTATTTATCTTAAATAAAATCTAGCACCAGCCTAATCCAAGAATGTCGATTCTTCTCTTTCAAAAGACTTTGGCTATGAAAAGCAATCCGCCCAATGAGCTAACGGCTAGATGAGCTAAGGCCAGGGGATTCCTCAGGAGTCAGCTTACCTTCTTGGTACCCTTACTCACCCAGTCAAGATCCAGAAAAGAAGGGAAGCTAGCCCCTCTTACTAAAAAAGGGGAGGACTTGGATTGTGATAGATGCAATTTATCAAGTCTTGATTGAGGGCTTTGCACTTCGCGGTCTCACCTCAAAAGTAAAGGTTCTTTCTTTCAATTCAAACCGTTAGACGATAACTTGGTATGGAAAAGGGTTCTCCGCGTCGCATCGGTTTTTCATAGACCTAAAATGGCACCCCCCCTTTCATCTGCATCTGAAAACAGTGGTTAGGCCTTACCTGGACCTCTTCCTTCTTTTTGCATATCATCTCTGGCTTGCTTAGTCTACTATTGCATTTAAGTCGGCCCAGTGGCGGAGCTAACAGCAGAAAAGCCTTTTAAAAATTTTAGGGATAGTAAAATTCCGGATCGAAGAGATTCACCCGTAACGTAATAAGGGGGCAAAGCCAGAGGCAAGGCTATACCTCTATCTGTATGGGGGGAATTTTTTGCTAAAGCTTCTCGATCCGGGAAGGAACTGCTCGCTACTACTACATACGATGCACTATTGAAAGGCTCGACCCGGCCCGGAATCGGAATCGGAATCGGAAGAGCGATCCAGGCATTTTGAAATCGTGATCCAAAGATAGTCCTAGTCGCCATAGTCAGAGATTTAGATGTAGTTCCGGATGATCCAGATCCAGTCAATTTAGCAGTCGCGCTCTTGCCCCCGAGTCTTGGTTTGGGAAGCATTGTGAGTTGGAATGTACTATCCTCCCGACTGGCCAGCGAATGACGCGAGCGCGACAGGTAGAAAAATTCATGATGTGACCATGACTCCCAAACATATCGACCCGAGTTGCGGAAGCGGAATAAGATATTCTTTTTTGAGCAGGGAGCGAGTCGAGTAAAAAAGGCACGATCTCGAGGCAACAAAAGGAGAAGTGGAAGCACAGGGGGAAATCGAATACACAAACCAAAGGTTGAAAAGCAAGATGAAATGCACTTTTCTCGACTTGAAAACTGAATTTTCGGTAAGTAAGGCTGCTCTAACCTATTAGTTTCGCGTTTTACTTTCGTAATCGAGGAGGTCCCAGCACTAGAAAGAGAAAGAAGAGCGTTTGATCTACTAATAGCGGTAGCGGCATAAGAACAGCAACTATACTGGCAATTGCTTCAACCTAAGCAAGACGCATTAAAGGCTGTTAAATATATATCTTCTCAGGCACAGTTGCTTTCCTTGATTTTGATTCGGGCACAGTGTCTTCGACAAATCGTTTGTCTCAGTCTCTGTCTCATCTCTGGTCCTGTGGGTTAGTCACCTTAGTCCAGTGTATCAGAAAGCACATCTGTCTTTCCGAGACATAACATAAATAAGGAGTTAGACTCAGCCTTGATATATGAGCAAGGTAAATGAACCAAAGCGAATCTCGTTCAACCCCGCTCCTCGGCCTTCTTTAAAGCCTTGTGACTCCCATCCCATCAAGTCAGGAACCAAAAACTGAAAGACGCCTAGCCCCGGTTAGGCGGAGATCAAGGGATGCGCGTTAGCCCTTTATTAGTAATGGAGGCTTTCTTTTTTTCGTCAAAGAAAAGCCCCCCCTTAAGAAATAGGAGGCGTGGGGGTTTGTTACCTTGCTTGCCTTAATTATTTATATAATATAGAAGGGTCGAGCGTCTTCAAACCTTAGCACAAGCACTAAGTCAGAAACCTACCTTTTGACAACCTTACTATAGAAAGGGGAAAGATGCGCTCAATCCGTTGCTTGTTGCTCCAACTTAGGAGTACGGGGCTCGTTGAGCCTTTTCTGCAGGCTGCTATGCTAGTTGTAGCGCTAGCGCTTTACTAATAGAATATAAAGTAAAGGGGACTTTATCATGATCTTAAGAATCTACAACTCTCTTTACTGAGCGAGACTCTACCCAGATCTAAAGAATTAGCCAAAGAGCCTCTTCTAACTAGGAGAGTAAGCAATGCTACCGGAATTAGCGAAGCTTCTGGCTCCCCGAATTTCCAATTCCTTCTTTTCGTTCTACTTAGGTGGAGCAATCCGAACTCTCGACAGAATATAAAAGAGCGTCTTCGAACTGTGTAGACACCCTCAACGAACTCATGTGGACCCTCCTCAGCCCGAGCCGAGGACCATCTCTAAAAAATACAAAATAAGATGTTGACCCCTTCTTTATTTTCTTTGCGGATTCCTCTCAATTTAATTTGCCATGTTGCACTAAAGTTACTTACGTATGTAGGCATGCGGTCCGGGAAACCACTTTGGGGGTGAACACCCATCCGAACAAGTAGGGTCAATAGTTCAGCATTTAGGCCGTACATTTAGCAACAAAAAAATCTTTAACCCAACAAGTGCTCTCCGACCCAAGCTAGATAGTCTCCTATCACAGGCTCACCAACCAACCTGGACTTTGATTCTGATTATTCCTACCGGATTATCAAACCATAAGGATTGTTCAGCCATGAGTTCCCATATTACATAAGCGCTCTTGGGTGGGCTGGGCCATTCAATCAATCTTTGAGAAGGGGCCCCAATCTGTATTTGATGGTCGGCGTGGGCGATAGGCTTCGCTTCTGCGACTGCATCCCAGCCGTTGCAAAGACTGAGCGAGAACGGTTAAGGGGCGCACAAGAATGTCGTTGCGCGGGGATGCGATTAAGCCAAGCTGGTGCCAAGAAGAAGCCCGTCCGGCCCCCTACACGGTTCCGATATTAGGAATGAGCAAGGCCTTTCCTTCGAAAGGAGACCGGGGAAAGAAGAGCTATGCTATTGACCGACCCCCCTTCGTAGTGACTTCGAATCCATAGTCCTTACCTTTTTTATTATTATTTTTTGAGGCGGGCCGAAAAGAGAATGAAATGCAGAAATACGGGAAAGAGTTCCACAACCTTTTTTTCTGTTTAAGGGCTTGCCTCGCCTACCGAAGTAATAAGGCTTTCGAGGCTGACACCTCCCTATTACACACGACCTAAAAAAAGGTAGCTTGCTGTAGCGCCCTTAGAATCAAATCTAAGCCTTTTGAAGCGCCCAGTAGTTGTAGCTGTGGGTAGGGCTTTCGTTCTTTATCGCTCCGGGTTTCTATCTATATGACCTTCCGGGCTGGTACAAAGTAAACCTCTTCCGTAGAGGCAGGTAGTACCTAACCTTTAAGAGTTTGTTCAAGGGGGGAGCCCTCTTTCTTATCTCTATCAATGGAAAGATCTCCGTGCGTGATAAGGAATCCTAGAAAAGATATCATGAGACCCCGCCCACTATGACTACGAAAAAAAGCCCTGCCTCTTTTTCCTTCTAACTAGGAGAGTAAGCAACTTATATTAGCGCCGGACCTGAGTCGAATTGATCGTGTCATGTGCAACGTCCATCAATGATGGTTCATTAAATTGTCCATTGATTGAGACTCCTTCCCCCTTCCCATGAGCAACTACGAATAAGATCGAGAGGAGCCCGAAGCCCCCCAAAAACCAAGAACGAAAACGGAAGCCTTTCGATTCACTCCCCATTCTCTCTTAAATAAAGCTCGCCCTCGAGCCCTGGGCAGGTCGGCCGGGTCTTTCCCTGTTGTTCTGTTCCTGCCACGAGAAAGACGCACAGAAGAGGTATGCCCAGAACCAGAAGCGGAGGATCCGTTGAGAGTGTCTGTTGTCTCGGTAGGGAACTTTACGATCTTTTCCCCTCTTGTCTTGAATCAATAAAAAAAAATAGGTAAGTGCTACGGCCCTCTATTGTTTGATCCAATATTGACCGGGGACGAGCCCCGACTTCCGTAGGTCCAAGCTTCAGGTTTGACCTCCCGTAGTGGTCCTTGCTTTTAATAAGCGGAGCGGGGCAAATTTATCGTACTTGCTCAGTGTGCCCCCCTTTCGTCGAGTGCCCCGCCCGGTTCACTGGGCTGTTGGCCTACCAAGCACTTGCCCGCTGCTCCTGCCGCCCGCCAAGCGGAAGCGGGCGGAGCGCTCGTTATCCTTACTGTTCTCTATGCCGGGGCCCCCTCCCATTGCTCTAGCCATAAGCTATGGCAGCTCCAGCTCGAAACCACAGGGGCCCGCCCCGCGAGGCCAGAGTGGGCTCAGCGGTCAGCCCCCCATTCGAATTACGTTACGTTATGGGTATTTAGCTTTTGCCAGATCTAGAGAGATACTACGAGTCCTCCGTCCCAGATTCCATCGCCGCGGCCATCTGGTTCACCGGTACTACCAAAAAGTCTCATGCTTACGTTACTACTTTTACTGAAGGTTTTCTTATATTGGACCACGAAGACCCCGGTCGGTCGTGCTTCTGGTTTCCATTCCCATCATCATATTGATGATAAATCTCCTCGCGCTCTGCCATAATAACTTGGAGTCCGTATCATGGTGAAGGTAAGGTAACGCTGTGATTCTTGCTCAAAAAACAGACCGAACGCGTTCGAGTTATTGGCTCGTCCAACCCGGCAGCATTCATGAGTCGCTGAGTCGCTCGTTCAACTGTCCCTCGGAGACACGGTCGAGAAGTACCATTGCATGGTTGCCCCCCGTCCTTCTTGCTCTCGGTCCCACCAGCAAGATACGGCTCAGCCACAAAACGTGAGCGCCCCTGCGCGAGCCTTATTTAATTTATTAGTAAAGTCAAGCTTTGGCTCCTAAAGACTAAAGAAAGAAATGGATAAAAAAAGGGGGGACTTACTGCAACGGGCTATACCACCCAAACCAACTGAGGGAATCGCATCTCCGCCCCATCGCCAAGCACCTACAATGTCAATGATCACATTGGTACCCTTTTTTCTTTGGTAGTTCAACGGACGGTCGCCCCTCCAACAAGAAAAGGTATAAATATGGAAACTTCTCTGCCATTTGGATCGGAGAATTTATGGAGGAAATCGGGTTTTAAAATTTCCAGAAACCACACGATTATATAGCCAAAGGGAATACGCCGCGCCTAAAATCGATCCCAAGCGCTGCTAATGTGGCTACTAAGCTATTTCTTTGGGAAAGCTCCTACTGAGATGGGAAATTCCCCGATAAAAGCTGCTAGTACCAGGTGAACTCATATTGGCCAAGTGGAAGAGAAGGAAATGGTAGAGAGATTCGGCATGGTGCTCACTAACCCTCCGTAATATCTAACAAGTCGAGTCTTATGTCTGTCATATAGAACACCAACACATAGAAAAAGGGCTGAAGGAACCAGTCCATGACTTAACATCGGTGGAATGCTACCTCCAATTCCCTGTATGTTCGATAGAGCCAAAGATCCCCCCCACTGATCGGAGAGTACGCCGATTACCCCCCGAACCGTACAAGATAGTGACCGCCTATCATACGGCTTTCTAACTTCACTTTTTTTTTTCTGGTCGTTCCGCTCTGTCGATCGATGGTAGTATAAGAGATCTGATCTGTAACCCCCTAATTTATTTACAAAAAGGTAAAAGCTTTCTACCCCTACCCATAGTTAGCATGTATCTTCCCGGGTCATACTTGAGTATCACATCGTAGACCCCCACCCCAACTCTATCTTCCTTATCAGTGAACCGGAAAGAGTGCATAGGTACTTTTCAATGCAGCGGGGACGAGACGACGTGAGACGATCACGTACAGAAGTGCTGCCCTTCGGCTCGGCAATATGGAACCTCTCAACAGCTCCCGTTCCTTTATGAGGTCCTATCGGGATAGGTAGGCCCAGCCCAATTCCCCTCCCCCCTGCTTAGCGTTCCACTTGTGATCCTGGATTGCAGTGGAGGATTTAAAAAAAAGCGCCCGAATGTTCCCCCTCCCTCCAAAAGACCCTCTTTCTCTTTACCCCTCGAGAAAGAGAAAGAAGAGAAGAAAGGGTTGATTATCTTCTTTCATGTGAACGGCCCTATCTTTTATCGAAAGGTTTTTCGTGCTATACACCACGTTGAGAAAGACCAGCCTCCTATGTACCGTACCCTTTTTTTACTTTACCCCGAAAGGGAGGTCCTCCTTATGATGCTACGGACGGCTGTCCGAAGTGCAAGGGGTAAAATCGGACGAGGATAGGATTGTGCGCGCCGGGCCCTCCCTTCGGGTTGTTCATCTTTTGCCGAGTTTACCGTTACCCTCCGGCCCTTATGTTACGCGACCTAATCTTTTTTACGTTCCACCGCTGTTACGCCAGAAGCATAAAGGTTCCACACGAGCTGCCGTTCTGCGGCGTGGTGGCAGACCGACTAGGAGATTGGCTCGGGTTGTAGATAGGGTAAAATCCGCAGGAGTCATGTACAAATACATAGGCCCCTTCCCCTCTAGTTTAGATGATGGGGTGGTTATAACCGTTCCCGATCGAAGGTCCTCGGAGGCGACGGGGTTTTGGGGTTTTTTTTTTTAAGGGCAGGTAGTATGGGCCCTCTGACTTTCCAGCTATGTCTTTGTGCGGCTCCCGCGAAAGCGAATGAAGGGTAAGCTCTTCAGCTTACGCTACCTCTCAGCCTCTTTGCATTGGTAGGCGGGCGGGACTAAGCCCCCTACTGAAGATTTAATTCATTAAGGGTTAATTTTCTGTTGTCGTGACGTTTTGGTTAGGCCGACTACTAGACTACTAGAGGTTACTTCTAGCTTCTATAGGGGCCTTTCCACTTTGGTGTAGTTTTTCTTTGTATTGGTACTGAATGAACATATCAAACAAAGGCGAGCAGTATAAGCCCTTCTCCGGCCTGGGAAAAGCAGCGAACTCTAGAAGCTAGGGCGTTGTTCACCTTTGGACACGAACACTCTTCCGTTCTCAGCGTCAACCGCCTTAGAGATTGAACGGCAATAAGATAAAGATAAGTCGACGTTCAATCTAAGACAGCGCTGATAGCTTGTAGTGAACAGCCCCCTTATTTACCAACCGAAAGCTGCCGTACTTAAGTTAAGTAGTTAAGGTTTGGAACCCTAAAGACTATGATAGAAAGCCGTTTGCTTGTTGCCAAACCCTTCGCCTTTCTTTTGTTTTGAATCAAACAAAGTAGGTCGCGACTGTTGTCTTTTTGTTTAGTAGGTCGGGGGAAGCTACCGCTTATACGACAGCTCTGCTTCCTCGTCTTGCTTCTGGCAAAGCTTCTACTTTGCTTGCTTCTCTCGCGTTGCTTGCGCGAAGGCTTATAAAATAAAGTCCTTTTCGCTAGGTCCAAAAGCTTCCGTCCAAGCGAAAGATCTGATCCAACTGAAATCCCGCATATCCGCTGCGCTCAATATGCGGCTACGGCTAGGCGATCATATCGTGCCATAAAACTCTTTATATTTTTAGAGAGATCCCCTAGATATACAGATAGAATAGATGTTCATGGATAGACAGACATTCCATTGATTCTTAGTTTTGGGGCTGAAAAAGCTCGTCGATCAAAATGAATGCCCCGAAACTGACCCACAGCACAGCGCCCATTCGCTTCGCGCGCGGGAAGGCAACGAAGTTAAGTTCATGAGACCGCGGCGGAGTGGAGCAGCCGCGACACGAAGTTCCTTACCTTAGCTGGATCTCGCTGGTGCCACCTAAACGGTAAGTAGGCGACGGATGTGTGACGTTTGGAGTTGTCGTTCGTGCACCTGTCCCCAATGGAAGAATGAGTGATCCGTTCCCCTGCGGATCATGGCCTTACCACTCGGTCCCCGATGGCCAGCGGGGGATTCGAGCAGCTTACGTTATTTTGCGCTGCGCGTTCCCGCTGGACTGGACACGTGTTAGCTGTAGGAAGTATGGTTCCGAAAGTGACTTCGGTTCGCCAGTTCAGGCTCAACTCCTCGCTTTACGTTGGCGGACCTACACTAAAGGTCGGGCCGGGGCTCTGCGCTCTTTCTTTCTGTGTGGGACGATGCCGGGGAGAGAAGGGAATGCGTCGAGGCGGCGAACAACAACAACACAACTAACTACATTTTGTTCCCTCCATCCATGATATGAGCCCAGTGCATTGGACCCGATGGATAAGATAACTGAGCTGGCCTAAAGCTTGGGCGCTCTACGTACGATGTAGACTCCATCAGATACATATCGATTTCGTTCTGATGGATCAAGAATAGTTGTCTTATCAATAGATATAAATAGGAGATTTCCCCCTTTTTCTTTTTTTATGGATTCCCCCTATATCATTCCTACTCTTTCGATCTATCTATCAGAACGGATCAGGCTATCTATCAATCGATTTGAAAATAGCACGTTCATCTCGCTTTTCGTTCATTTCCGCCACGCCAACATAGCCACAATAATAAGAAGCAGGCGAAGCAGCTAGAAGCGCTCGCTTCTAGCCCTTGAATTCTGATTCACGAATTGGGAAAGCCAACACAAGATTCGATTCTGACTTCGTAGAGCCGGTGCTGCTGTTGCCTGCGCGTAGGGCCCACTCCCGTCCCGGGGGCGCTAAGGGGCTTTTGTTTTGGAACAGACGGCAATGTTTTGCTGACGCCTTGAATCAAGCTTTTGTTGCGACATGCTATGTTTTCTCCCCCATTGCTAGTAGGTTGATGGGTCGCACGCCCCGGCACACATGTTTTGGCCTTGTCTTGTGTGTCCATAACTAAAAATAGGTGACCTAACGGCCGCCCGCCCGACTAAACATACCAATAGTCACCAGATTCATATGGGCTACTGAGGAGTAAGCAATGATCTTCTTAAGATCGATCTGTCTTGAAGTGGTCAAGGAAGTATATATTATAGCAATCGCGCTTGGAGTATAAATGAAAGGAGTGGAACAAAGTGTCGCTTCGGGAAACATGGGTATTGAAAATCTTAAAACCCGTGGGTTCCCAATTTTGAAGGAATTCCTGCCAAGATGACGGATCCTGCCGTAGGTGCCTCTACATGAGCTTCGGGTAACCAAATATGAACTGGTACCATAGGCACTTTGACGGCGAAAGCGGCTGAAAGAAGCAATCCATAGAAAGATTTGGCGCCGCTCACTAAATTCTGTGGTTAATGAGATTTGTAAATCGGCGGTCCCTGTTTGGAAAAGAATCAAAAGAATAGCTAATAGCATAAAAACGGATCCAAGTAAAGTATAAAGGAAAAACTGATATGCTGCCCTTGATCTTTCTTTGTCTCGAACCCCATACCCCTATAATAATGGTAGAGTCAGGGGTGGCCCCAAAGCGGAATTTACCGGTGGTGGTTGGTCGAAGCTCCAGTAGGTAGCCACTCCCTTCTCAGGGAACCGTACGTGAGACTTCCGCATCATACGGCTCCGTCCCGAGCTTCCGTCGTCGGCCCTTGTCATTAGACCACTATCTATGCATGTATATTAAGCCTGGACCTCTCGAATCTTTTGCTTCTCGGGTGGTGGCGAACAATGCAGCTTGCGTTGCGGGAGATGCCCGCCCGTACCGTAGGGCCCGGCCCGCTTCTCGCCCGAAAGAACCGCTCAGGACTAGTGGGGGCCCTATCTGGAGACATACTGAAAACCATGCCTTTCGAACCGAACGCAACGCCCGTCTTCCAAATCCAAAAAGGGCTCGTTGGAAGAAGAAAGATGGAGTGCGGCCTGTAGAGCACATGTAACGCACAGTCGGGTTGCTCACGCAGTGGATCTCTCTCTCTAGATATCTAGAGAGAGAGATGTGAAAGTAATAGCCTTTATTTTATGGCCGCCCCCCGACTTACGGCTTTACGCTACTACTACTGTGATGTGAGCGGTTCAAATTGCTTTTTTTTTTCCCAATTATCCTGGCCGGAACTTGTATGCAGCACTTATACGAAGGTGCATGCATGCATAAAGGTTTGGAACTCTTTTTTCTTATCTGAATCTTAAAGACAGGACCCTACCCTATTCTCGAACCCTCTACCGAGCTTAACCCTGCCCGCATTTCCATTTTTTTTTGAAGGGGGCCAAAGAAATGTCTCCACCTGCTGCCAACAGTCTTTCTTCGTAATTATACTGAACGGGTCGATCCTCCCCTCCCCTTTTTGTTGTTTTAGCAACTTATCCTAAGGTCTCCTCACCAAGAGCTCCCCGGCGACGACAGAGGAACCAACCCGCCTGCTGTGGCGGGGCGGCTTTTTTTTTTCACAATAAGACCTGGACGATTATCCCTACCCTCGGTAGCTTACGAGTTTACGTCCATCCCTGGTTGGGTACAGTTTCCTTTCGATTTATCCCTTGTAGCCGTTACCCGAATTCGCGCAAGTGTGTCCACACCCCCCACACTGACTTGACGAGGAATCCATTCTCGCGAACAAACACAACCCCTACACACACCTAGGAGCACCCCTTCCTGCATATCCATACAAGACCCGAGTAGGCGGGTCGAGGTCCTACGAGGTACCCACTACTCGGGAGTACCCTCCCAAAAGGAAAAAGATGTGTCTGTCAGGTTCGGTTCGTCTTAGTTGGGTTGGGCGGGTTCGACCAGAAATGCTATGCTTACGCACAAGACTACCCCTCTTCCCGAAAGCTTCGCGGGGACTACTTTACGACGGACGACCGCCCGTAGGGGGTTTACTGCACAAGGCCCCTGCAGAGGAAAAGCTTTATCCCAGCGAATAGAAGATGCTCAGCTCCGCACAACATAGGGATTAGCACGCTTTCGGGAAGAACATAGAATAGTAGAGGATCCAGCATGCGGAACACGGCGATCATTAGAAATTCACGAATTAGAGATGCTGTAATATACTCTTTCCCATAACTTCTCATACCAGACCAACCCACTAAAATACAAATAGGGATAAGAAATGTGGTCAATATCACGAAGAAAAAAAGAGGAGACCGTCTATACCCAAATAAAAATTGATGTTTTCATAAGGAAGCCATCGAAGGCTTTCCACAAATTGAGATTTGGCCGTAGAAGGATCGAATTGTATCCGAGGAACAGGGGAATACAAAAAAGTAATAAGAGAGGCACACAGACCAATCAATCGTATCGGTCGTATTCTTGAATTTGGAATGAAAAGAGGAATAATGCTTCCTAGCACGGGACACAGAATAGGACCACTTAGATCAGAATAGCATTCACAGAAATGTTCTAACATAGAGTAGAATCGAAGATTGAAGAGATTAGTTGACAACAGTAAAAAGATGGGCGCCTAATTCCAAGACAATAGGGGTCTATCAGTGCAAGTCAGCTGAACACCGTGATTGATGAGTGGGTAGGTGGGTTAGGTGCGCCTCTCGTCCAGTGGGAAGTATTGAGGCGAGTCTCCTCCCCCCTCCCCTTTTTTACTCTATCCTTTTGCTTGTGCTTCTACCCGGGCTTTTCATTTTTATAAGATTCATTGCTCGATTTTGCATGCTCTGCTCCCAAAATGCAGAGAGACTTTCGAGGGCAGATCCGGGTCCGGAAAGTCATGGGAGAGGCGGGCTAAGTGAAATAAATATATATTAATCTAAATGGAGCTATGTCGACTGACGTACGTCTCGTTGACCAAACGATCAGGTATACCACGCCACGTATCATCCCCTCTTTCTATAGAGGAGAGATAAAGAAAAATAAAAGATATAGCGATCGTGCCCGTAAGACCTTGTTCCTTTCTACTTGACGTTATTTTCCTCGGTTTTTTTACATTACATAAGGCCTTTAGTTTAGGGCTGACTTAGCGCTTGCGCTAAGGATATAATCAGAGTCAAACTTGGATTTGAAAAAAAAACCTTTCCCTTATTAGCCGGAATACAAGTGTACTCCTTGATCTTTAGTAAAGGCGGATTAAGAAAAAGATTTTTTTTAATTTTAAAAGTCTCAACGTCCTCGTTGAGAGTCGCTCTGCGAGACGCCCAGTAGTCTCTTACTTGGTCTTCGAATCGTAAGTTTCAGCCCTTCTTCTCCCAGCTTGCCTCGCTCTCAGGTTGGCCCTTCTACTTGACTAAGTAGTATTCTACTCGTGCAGTGGGTGTATGGGCTAGCCCATGGTGCGGTCAGCTATGATATATATACTATTTTTCTTTCTTAGTAAGTGAATCTACAACATCTGGTGGTGCCCTCGTGGGCTGGGCACGTTCCTTCCCTTCCCTCTCTGGGTCGGTCTGGTCTAATCGAAGTCAACTGACTCACATGGAATACGGGGTGAGTTTTAACCGAGCTGATCGCTTGAGTCTATAGGCTACCTCTCCTATCCGCTTCTCTACAAGGTCTACTTTATTCTTCCTTCAGACCGGGCCAAGCCTTTAGTTTAAGTAGGTTTGGGCTAGGTCGTTGCGCTCCTGCCACGTCTTGGCAAAGTAAGTAGGCCTCTTGTTGGGCAAGCCTCCTCCTGCCGCAATGGAATAAGAAGGGGCGTCAGAGGCTGTTGCCCCGTGGCCAACTCGAAGGGGCTGAAGTTCGACGCAGAGCTTTTTGGTTGTTAATTTATAGCAGCACTGAGCAACATCCAACAGCTCCAGTCCTTCTGGTTGGTTTGCACTAAAGTGCCTTAAGTAGCCCTCGAGGAGTCCGTTTATTCTCTCCGTCTGAGCTTTCAAAGATATACCGACCGTAGGTATCTTAGTGGTAAGTAAGATACCTACAGTCGTCTTCTAACATTACCGACCTTTAAATATCGGGTTTTCATCATCAGAAACAACCCGATTTCCGAGACCTCTTGCATTGCATTACCATAAAAAAGATAAATTGCTCTTGTGACTCGGAATGAACCTTTCTTCCATCGATAAAGGAATAGCGATGGATTCCTATGAAGCATTCAGGAACAAGAAGATTCAATCGGACGACGAATTCTTACGTGGTCCAAGGAAATAAAAGGTCCGCTTCCACGATTGAATCTATATCGAACTTAATATCAGAATAGCTTATATAGTCATGATTCAATTCAGGTCCACTGACTTTTGATTGATTTATCTTCGGATCTGATTGGAACATTGGAGAAGTCGGAAGACTTTGGCGGGCGATTCATAATGGGTATCTAGAAGATCTATGTCCTAGGACATAAAATATGAATAATGAAGAGAAAGATATATATAAATACGAATTTCTGTACACCTAATTTATTTTCCTGGGATTGTAGTTCAATCGGTCAGAGCACCGCCCTGTCAAGGCGGAAGCTGCGGGTTCGAGCCCCGTCAGTCCCGACCTAGGATCCGATGAATCGATCAATTCATCTCTGTAGGGGGGGCAAAGAAGGATTAGGATCTAATTCCCAGCAGGAGGATCCTTCTTTCGTTTCGCATTTATCATCGGACAAATCAAGGAATAAAATAACAATAACTAGTACCGATTGATGGAGGAGAGACATATGTAGGTTGGTACAATCGGGGGTATCACCATATTAAGCATATTAAGTAAGGATTAATAGATATACCGTACAGGTCTGGCTTTTTTCGATTGTTCCTGGCCCATCGAATAGAGTAGCAATTTATTTCCCGGGAGCACAAAAAATCTAATTTGATTTTTTTTTTACGATACGCAATTAACTTAACATAGTTACCCCCACAGAGTACTTTTCAGATTCAACCTACCCTTTCTTTCTAGCTCCTATTTTATTTTCTTCGCTACACCTATTATTCCTTCTTCCAATCAATTCGAAATAATCCAACGTCAACTGCTCTACTCTAATTAATAGGTTTTTTTTATTGTATTGATCCCGGGATCTATCGAAACTATAGTATGGGCATATAAAAAAAAAGCAACCAAGTCATCCCTTAGCACAAGCACTAAGTAAGCAAGCTACCTTTTTTTATAATTTTTTTTTATAAGAAAAAATCACCCATCAAATATTGAATGACTGAGCACTCAAATCCTATCGCGAGTCTTGATAAATAGTATTTGATTTTGTCCTTTCCACAACTCCTAATTTGATTCTCCATCGGCCCATCAAATCTAATTCACGACTCAGTCAGTAGACACTACACTAGTACTAGTAGGGTAGTCTTAGGAATTTAAAAACCAAAAAGCCCTTCTTCTTGGATCCTAGGAGCAAGGATTTACAGTCCTTTAGAAAAACCTTTTGATCCCAAGATTTCCGGCCCCTTACTTTCGTATTTTTTAATCTCACAATTTTATCTTACTACCCAAGTCGATCCTATTGGCAACGGGCAAACGACGCTTACGCGGGATCTCGGTGCCTTTCTCTTGCTCTTGAAAGAATAGAAGTTGAGTTCGAGTTGTTATCATGCCGGATCAGAAAAGTAAAAAGCCATACTAAGAGCCAGCGGACCTGCTCACGGGAGTCAGGCCTGTTCTGTAGTGGGCAGACGTAGCAGGGCCATCTGAAAGAATATAGGAAAAAGAGCCGCTGGAGGAAAACCAATTACGCCGGGTTCTCAATGGAATTTAGTATGTAGTGAGTTTGAATTGACCCGGTTAGCTAGAAGGTTCCTTTCGCTACCGTCCTAAGGTTCAACCAACCGTTGGTTTGCTTTAACAAGATTTCACTTCAGTGAACCCGACGCGAAGTTGGTGAAACCTGAGCGTAGCTAATGAAAGGGAATACCTTAGAAAAAAACCGACTATAAGCCCTGAGAGCCAGCAAGCAAACCCCCCTTACTCTCTCTCTATAAAAAAAAGCCTGCGTAGTAAACTACTTGTTTATTTTCTTTCCGATAGCTGCCTAGTTAGTTTTTCCAGTTTTCAAGTAAAGCGAGAAAGCAAGTGGAATAAGACTTGACTTTTTTCGGCCATTTCTCGGCAATAGCTACCTGAATGGAAGCAAGCTACCTTAGGGGATAAGAAGAAGAGTGGTCGAAGACTACGAGTCGAAGCTAAGACCAATCGAAGCCAATTTCCCTCAGCTGGAAACTATCTAGATAGCTTCTTAGCGCTTAGTTACTTTCTCCTTCTGCGCCGCTAGCGCGACTACTCCTAGTGATAGGAATAACCTACTCTTTTTGTACCTAGAGAAGGCCCATCCCTGGATCTAGTGGCCGGTGACGTATTCTAATGATCTGGATCTCTGGCTTATCTCTTACTTGACGGATTATATTTCGGCTAGTGGGATTTAAGTGACGATAATCAGGGAAAAGGGTTGATTGGCTCTGATCGATACCATCTAAAAGTGCTTGCTTCATCCATTCGTGACATTACTGGTTATTCTTACTAAGTTTCGCCTCTAGTGACTCTTGGAATCATGCGCATGGGCTCCATGTCGGCCTTAATTTGGTTGGCGTCGGTGGATAACGACTGGTGCAAGTAACAAAGACTACGAATGCCCTAACACCACTTGTTACGCATTAGAGTTAAGAAACCTTGGGGCTGATCTATATAAGAACTACATATATAGATAGGAAGGCAAGCACTTGTCGAAAGACCAATTCTTCTTTCTGCAACTCGATTTGCTGGTTTTTCTACTGCGGGCTGGCTCCCAGGCTTTCCTGCTGCCTTTTCAATGCCTCTCCCACTGCTTTCATCGCTGGTGCCTCCCACCTCTGCAAGTAGTTTTGTGGATTCACCTACTTATTTATGCCTGGGGCTCGATGCCCTTATGGATAAATAGGTGGTTCTGAATCAACGGGCTCTGCTGCCCCCCGTTATAGCGACTCTCTGCCTGCTTTTACTTAGCTGTTTGTTTGCTCC